AAAGTTTGTCATTTGTGTTTTTGTCACCTGGTTTGAAACGAGCTGTGAGTAAGTCCCAAAGTTCAGTTTGTATATGTGCAGTGTTAGAGCAGGTGCATATTGTGGTGTTGTAGTCTGCATCAGAGTCCTCACAGATGTGAGGATTTGACAGCACTAAGCATACACATAGTTTGGGGGGGAATGTGCCTCAAAGGCTGTGGGTCCATGAGTGTGGAGTTTGGCTGCATGAGTCTGCGCTGAATGTCTGGAGACCAAGAAACTGTGGAGCTCCTCGTAAAAACAGCTGTCCCTTAAAGACCGTTAATATTCAACCTATAAAAAACCATCATATTACCCCACTTTAACAAGTGTTTTGTGTTTACTGAGCCGTGTGTGTCTCCAACCAACAAAAAAAACATCACTTTGTAAAAGCGTGGATATCACTTGCTCCTGGTATTTGGCTCCAGACTGGCTGCTCCTGTTACTGCTCTGTAAAAAGAGCCATGATTATTCAGATGAGATGCAATAAAAGGTTAATGACTTCATAATAATGCCATTTACATGCTCTTCTTTCTCTTTGCTTCCTCTCACAGGCCTCTTTGCACCTCCATGTGTCTTCAGTGCAATCAGATGAACTGCTGCACAGCAAACACTCCCACCCCCTCGACTCCAATCAGACCTCAGACGTACTCAGGTAAACAATACAACAACACACGTTGAGTGTACAAAGACTAAACCACCTTTTATTGTTTCCAATGGGACTATCTCTCAATTAGCTTATTTTTACCCAGACTATATTTTTGAGACGAGCACTATTTTATTTTAAATTATTCCTTTAGATGGACTTCTACAGAGAGATCTTTTTGTAGTAAAACTGATCTAAAACTAACTTCTGCTCATTTTTATTGGACCTGTACTAAAAACACACCTTAGTTCAAAGCTGTCTTTAACTAGTATATGTTGTTTTACCTGGTTGATGTGTCTTTTTTTGATTTGCTCTGTAAATATGTGACCATGGATTTCAGTGTCAATAAATATGAAATAGTTTTTACGAAAAAGAGCTAAATGTTTGTTTGAAATAGTTTTGATTTGAGGAGTGCCATGTGTGCAGCGATTGATTTTGGTATAATTTTAGAAATGACCCCACAAATGCACAAATAATGAGTTGCATTTCTCCTGTGTGCATGCACAGATTCGTGCTGGAGCAGTACAACGCCCTCTCCTGGCTGACGTGTGACCCAGCAACACAGGACAGACGATCGTGTCTCCCCATTCACTTTGTGGTGCTCAACCAGATGTACAACTTCATCATGAACATGTTGTAACAAATGTTCACAGGGAGAGGAGGGGGAGTGGTGCACGGGAAACATTTCAGCAGAGAGGAAACCAACAGCTCAAGAGGGACGGGTTACCTCGAGGAAACTGCAAGAACCAGACCAGGGCAGATCAGGGAGCTGGATCCTGCACCGAGATGGGACGAGATGGCTGTTCTAAGCTGAGGCGGTCCTGTTTACCCACCGCTGTTTACTGGAGAAGACAGTCCTGTCCCTGTGATTCAAAGACATGCACATAGAGACAAGGGAATAATGAAGATGGGAAATAAATGAACGTGAGAGAATGACAGGTCGGCTGTCATGATAATGTAGCATGGCGGCACAGTCACTGGCCAGTCTGTGTTGGAGAGAAGAGTCTATCTGTAAAGTTATCGGAGGAAAAGGGACATATTTGATCGAGAATGGATCTTTGGTTTTAAGACCTGAAATTCCTTTTAGGTCCTTTGGATGAAATAGTATCCAAAAGAAATGCCTGCATCTATCTTATTTATTGTAAGTTTTTAAATGTATAATTTGTCTTATTTCTTATCCTCTTTTATATATAAAAAATGGAGAAGGTTTATATCACCTTCCTGCTTTAAAGCAATTGGTCTAAGATATATGTAATCGTCTTAATTAAAAAACAGCCAGGAAAAAAACTCCCATAAAAATGAAATAAAGTCCCAGTAGGTTGCTTTTAGAGTATTATTTTTTGTAATGGAGACAGAATATTTGTATTGTCACAATGTACAGAAGAATTAGAGTGGAAAATTATGTTTCATGCCTTTGAGCATGAAGGACTTACAGCAAAGCTGTAGCTACAGAGGACTTGTACAGCAATGAACTTCACTGTGTTCAAATAAAGAGGTACATTGTTGTATATAGTATTTTATACCACACATTTAGACACAAAAACCAAACGGCAATATATATGAAAATTATATATGAATGCCATGCCAGCAGTTGGTGGTATGGCTTCTGTTTTAGGAATAAAGTGCGTCAACTTATTTCCCTGTGCTTGTGTTTTTGTGATTTTTGGGAAGGGGACTGTGATGTGCAATCAGACACCAGTAGCTGAGCAGGAGGACTGTAAGCATGTTTGGAGGAAACTGACCTCAGGTTTTCATAAAGAAGTAATAAAACTGGAGCTTCTATGTGAAAAAGTTATCTAAATGGCAGATACAGTGTCGTTTTCAGCACATCCTGTAGATTTTGATACCTCTCCTCTTTCTGATTGGCTGAGGATTTTATCTTTTGGCACCACTTTTGATTGGTTATGGCTACATTTAGACCAAACTCATTTCACTTCATGAAGTAAATGTGTGGTGTAAATGGACTTTAACCTGCTGTGGATGGCTGCCTGTTGGATATGCAGTGTTTTGCAAAGAAACATCTGTCTGGATTTTCATGTTTAGAGGAAAAACTGTAAAACATCGCTCTTTACATTGGAGATATGCCAGGATTTTTTGGCTTGAAAAATTGACCATAAAAATGTATTTGGTCTCCTTGTGGGATGTAGATAAATACATTCAATATTTAATAAAACCCTGAGAAATGAATGCTCAGTCCGGTGCCCATGTTTTCTTTTGGAAAATCATGGTTGTCTGCAGCCTCCGCTGTACAGTAATTCTGCAGGCTTGTTAGCACTCTCATTTCACAAGTGGGGAGAACATTAGAGTAACCCTGCGTAGCATTTTGAGTCAGACATCTTACTTGTAAATTGCCGAATTGCCCTGGGGTCTTCTAGTAGTAGCAGCTGGTAATTCATTCTGTGAGATTTTCCATGCTGTACGCAGCCTCTGGATAGGCAGATATCTTGCCCTGTGTGCCTTCATTGCTCAGCTGCTCCTCTCAATGCAAAACATGGGGAAATTTAAATTGACATGATGTCAGTGAACAGGGAATCCTACAATATGTGAGAGGAAAGCACAAATTGAAATATACTAAAAGAGTTTTTTGTTTGGCCTCTCTCATAACTAGTGCACTAAACATGCTAAAACTGAGGGATTAATCTACAAAAATGGGTTGATTGAAAGAATTATCATTTACAAATCAATCAATAATCAGTCATTGTTTCAAAGATTTTTAAGCAGGAAAGGGTTTCTGGTCATACTTCTTAAAAATTTGGATTTCCTATTTTTGAGACTAAGCAAAGATCAAGAAACTAAATGTTCCCATATTTTTCACATTTTATTAACTAAGTACAGAAGTCATAAAAATGGCAGATAAAATATTAAAAACATCATTTATGTTTTTAGATACACCACTTTGAGACCACAGCACAGCAACTACTTTATCCCAAACAATTTCTGCAGCTAACCAGATAAAGTATTCTTTGGGAAAAGATAACAGAGCTTGCTTTTTTACTTTATTTATTTATTTGAATATTTTTCTGTCGATTAAGAAAATCAAACCCTAAATGTTGGATTCCAAATCAGGACATGCCATGCTGCAGTTGCCCAATTCTGTGTTTGTTTTTTATTTGTGCATACAGCTCTGGGGATACAGGGATGCATAATATCAGCTCAGGGCTTTGGTATTTAAAGTAGCAGAGCAAAATGTTTTGCAGCACTTTTGAATACAGATTCCTAAGACTCAATAATTAATTTCTGACCTTTGTGGTGGGCACAAGTTTCCAGTAGATGTTTTTAAAACCTTACAGAACTGCATACTGAAACTTGTTGTACCATGTAGAGAACATCCTGCCTCTCTAATGAGCTGTGAGGTTTTTAAAAATTGATTTTTACACATTTTGTGGGGCAAGAGAAATAAATTGTTCAAAAACACACACTTATGATTTAAAAGCATTTGATTTAATTGTTCTTGATAGACAAGCCTTCAAAAAGGCTCTCAAAGATGTTTTAAATTGAAAAGCACGAAAATGCTTATCAAAAAAGTAGTGTTCTTTTTTATGTCCTTTGTGGTGGACATTTGTGCCATTTTTGATACGTTTAAATAACATTAGATTGAGTCAAACTTTGCCATGGAGATTGTAGATGGAAGCCCTGACTTTGAGCTTTAAGATGACAAGCAGTTTAGAAATACAGGGTAGTGTACCTCCAGGCAGTTGGGCTGTTCAAGACATGTTTTTGTCTTGTGGGGACTCAGTTTAAGTTAATTTCTGGAACCACCTGTGAAAATCCTGGAACTTTCAAAACTTTGGCATTGGGAAAAAAAAAAAAAAACAAGTCTGAAGCCACACATGTTTACAGAAGTTTCCCCTCACATGAAAGTGAGTGTAGTCATTTCTATTCCTATAATACTTTCAAGTCAACTTACTTTTCTTTTGGGTCAATTGCTGTGACAGTTTTGGTCCTGATGTTGCTGCACACTTTTTGGTCTGCTGTAGACCTGGATGCAAGAAACATTAAAAAAAGAAAAAGAAAAAGAAAACAAATAATTGTGTGTCCTGGTATCCACAACAAAAGACACACAATAAAATCTGAACCAAAAGTTCTTTAAAAGAAAAGAAAAGACCTTGTCTTTTATTCCATTGACTTCAATATCTTATAATTACTGAAATGATCACTTTTTACACAGGAGAGAAGAATCGCAGTACCATCACAGACTTTTTTACTGTTTAACTATGAAGCCAGATTATGTTGAAGGCGCTGCACTGTTTTATTTAATTACTTTAAATACTCGCGTACAGTGTGTGTGTGTGTGTGTGTGTGTGTGAAATATCAGTCAGCCCGCAGCACAGCCTGCAGTCAGGCCAGAGCTGCAGCAGGATGGTGCAGCAGCCTGCAGACACAGGTTTAGTCTGTCAGTCAGCTCCAGTCTTCTCCACGGTGCTGTCTACATCTCCTTTATCACTGTCACACTGACACAGTTATTTATCCCTGTAGATAGAGGCTAGACCCACGTGGATATGCAGGACCCTAAACAGGCAGACTGAAAACAAAATGCCCAGACATTTCCATGAATCTACCGGCAGGAGCTAACTAAGAGGACACGCTTCTTTATGTCACTGACTTAGCTTCCCCACTTAGTGTTAGCTGGTGTCGGCACACAACCGAGTCCGAGGTCTGAGAGCCTCCATGGTGACCTTTCTGTTTTAAAAGACTATCTCTGATCTTAACAAAGGAGGTAAGATTACACACTTCAACTTCATTTAATTGCATCGGCAATTTGACCAGTTTATGCAGCTCAGATAGAGGCGGGTAACATTATCTGATGAGTTAGCCTAGCTTAGCCTGCTAGCATGCTCTGAGTGGCACAAAAAGCAGTGTAAAGTTAATGTTAGCAGCTAGCTGTTAGCCGGTCTCCTGAGATATATGTAAATGTAACCTGCGTTCTTGATTTAATTTTAAAACATGTAGTTAACATTTCGGAATCTAGAGATGAACCATAATAAAGTGTTTAATAAGGCTGAGTGAGTTTCATGGCAGTTATCATTGAGTAACGGTTTGTAATGTAGCAAAGCCAGGCTAACGTTTGCATTAGTTTGACCTAGCCGCCATAGCTAACCTTACACCCTGTTCTTTTAGCAACACCATCTGATTAATTATAGTAATATTATGAGTTTAAGACAGCTAAGCCTCTGGACATTAAGATCGACACATTACACACTACAATATACAACAACAACATCACCAATAACAACAACAACAGTTATTAATATTTTTATTGTTGGTATTATTATTATCATAGGGATTGTGAGCTTGCAAAGACAGCCAAAAGTGTTTAAAGTTAGACAAGAGGCAACATATAACCATATAAATAACTAGAAATGTTGGTACCTGGACTCAGTGAGGACACATGAAGTCATTTTCAAACTTTTTGAACAAGTCTACAGATCCAAACTCTGTTTGATTGTATTATGGTTTGACAAAAATTAATGAAGCCACTAATACTACAAAACAGGGAGGAAAAGTCCTGAAATATTTTTTTACATTTTACAACAATAAATGTAAAACTGCAACTGCTACAATGTATTAGAAACACTGAGTGCTGGGTGCTTACTTTAAGGTTATGGTGATGGGGACAAGGGAAGTAAGACATGCCACTACCCACCAAATATTTTCCCAAACTAACTGTCTTAATATCTGATCATGTTGATGTGTGAAGTGATTTTTACTCTGAAGCTATCCACCAGAGTGAAGTTGCTGAGTATTCATGTAAGAGAGAGACTGGTTAGTTGGCCTTTTAACATGATTGGCATTGTATTGGCCTGCCCCTCTCAAGGCTGTTGTTACTGATATCTGTTATAAATTAAAAAAAAAAAAAAAAAAACATTTATTGCTCTGTAAGATTCATTAATTCATGTTTTTTTTATGTCAGTTAAACTCAATTTAGACTTGTGAAAAGTATCTGTGGTGTTTTCAAAGAGTGTAAATCAGTAGATCTGCTCATGTTGGACAAATGCTCACAGTGGAGGATTGTTAACTTTGTTTGCAGACGACATTAGATTCCTCCATTTCCCATGTCCCCTTAAGGTTTATCTACAGAGAGATGGCAGACAGCGCAGGGCTGCAGTTTGTCAGCTCCTATGCTTTTGAAGCAATGCAGAAGGTGGATGTAGTGCGCCTGGCTGCCCTGAGTGACCCCGAGCTGAGGCTGCTGCTGCCCTGCCTGGTGAGGATGGCTCTGTGTGCTCCAGCTGATCAGAGCCAGTCCTGGGCTCAGGACAAGAAGCTGATCCTCCGCCTGCTCTCTGGAGTGGAAGCTGTCAACTCCATTGTGGCACTTTTGTCCGTTGACTTTCATGCCTTGGAGCAGGACGCAAGAAAAGAGCAGCAGCTAAGGTATAATAACATGGGTGTGATCATATAACCAGGATTTAAGTTTTGTTATGATTTGCTTAGAGTTTTTGCTTTTTCTTAAGGATTAGTATGCATTTCCTTTATAACCTTAATCTGAATGAGGCTGACCATTGTTGAAAAAGAGTTGAGCTGACTCAGGTAGTTCTCTGTGTATTGAGTTGGTATTCTAAAATACAAAAACCTCCAATACTGTCTGTATTTCAGGATTTATGAAAAAGAAAAGTTGCCTATCCATCAAGCTGCACGTTGTTTCCATTATGTATTTATTATCACTGTCATTGTCAAATACAACTTTTGTAGAAACTTGATTTGATCCCAAATAATATAAAGTGACAGTTGCTTTTTATATAATAGTGTGCTACAAGCAGAGAGTGCAGCATTGTTTGGGGATGGCATGATTTTGGAATTTTGCAATGTTAAGTGAAAATCTCTTACAGGAGGTTTGTAGTATAAGCCTGAAACTGTTAAGTGACAATACTCGTGTTTTTATTTTTTTAAAGCTATTGTAAAGAACTTTTGGTGCCCTACCATGGCGATAGCGATGCCTCCTATCTTTTGTCTTGTACATGTGAAAGTAGTGTTTAAGAAAAAAACCCCACCCTGTGCTCTTCTACACTTACTCTTGACTATTTGGTGTGGCAGAAGTCCAAATAGTCTCTGTTTCTTTGACCTGCTGTCAAACATCAGATAAGACACCTACCCTCTTACAGCAGTTAAAGGTATTAGAAATTATGATTGTGAAATCACCTGCCTGTATTGTAAGTACACAGGTCCTGGTAGCAGTAACATGATAGGACAGGAGTAACACTGTGACATTACTGACTGGAATGTCACCAGTGTATAGACAATATACTTTTCCTTCTGACAGGCACAAAGCTGGTGGGTCTAATGGAGAAAGCATCCTGGTGTCACAGCTGCAACATGGACTGACCCTGGAGTTTGAACACAGCGATCCTCTCAGAAGACTCCGCTTGACCCTGAGTGAACTCCTGGCCATTATGAACAAGGTACAGTGGAAAATCTCAGCGTTATTCAACGAACCAAAAGACAATGACAACCAGTTGAACTTGGAGTAAACGGCACATGCAGGTATTTTTTGATGAAGTGAATGTTAATGGTTGAGCCTATGCCTGATCTGTGATATAGCAGTTTGCTCTCGCATTGAAGGAAAAGTACATTTTTCTTTTTACAGCAGTTGACTTTCAGTATTTCAGTCTTCACCTTAAAGGGTGTCTTGGATGATTGATTGATCCTGGCTGTCTTTTTCTTGTGTTGTTTCTCAGGTGGCAGACTCAAATGGAGAGTTTTTCCTGAAATCCTCTGAACTCTTCGAAAGCCCTGTTTACCTAGAGGAGGTTGCTGATGTCCTCTGCATTTTACAAGCAGGTATTCAACTCATGTCATCTTATTTGTAGTATACGAGTGAGCTCATAGCAACAACTTCCATTACAGGGATAGTCAGCACAAGATCAAATATAATGAGATAAAGGTCCTAAATGAGGATTCGTTACGTACAGTGTGTTTGAGGACTGTCTTGTATCTCTAGAAATGTGTAAACCACTCTACAAGAGTTTTATCGGTGTTTATAAGCTCTGTCCCAGATAAGCTTCACCATCTCTCAGTGTTTCATCACACTTTTTTAATATAAATTCTAACAGGTTAAAGTTCATTTCAGCTCTTCTTTGTGTGGTGCCATATGCAAAAATGTCAGCATATTGTTATATTTCCACTAAAGATGGACTTTATCAAATAGCTTTGGCCTGCAATAACAAGTCATCACGTTAAAGTAATATCGCTGTGATCAGTATGTTAGTTTGACTGAATTTTTTGTTTTACTGAACTTTTACTTAACGTGAAAACAACTTGTTGGGATAATGATTTTTTTTTACAAGGGTGACCTGGGCAAGAGGTCTTGATAGATATTACATGATTAAGAGACAGATTACAGAGATTAAGTTAAAAACAACAAATGAAAGCAAGATGTATGTTTTTGAACATTTTTAAATTTCATTTACAGAGCTACAGAACAGCTGCAGAATTAGAGTAAAAATACATATTTCTTTAAAAAGGCGTGCTCAAAAATAAGTACACATTTTACCTCTTGAACAAACATAATCAGGAGCTTTTGTGAATAAACCTTTTCTTTTTTTACGCTTTAATTCTGAAACAAAAACATGTTTTCACCTTAACCTTAGTGGTTGAACCTGTAACAACCACTGTGGAACTCAGTACAGCTTGGTCTCTGTCAATCAGGGTCCATTCCTTCTACCATATAAGCGCTTCTGTAAGCTGCATGCATCAAGTGTGTAACAAGTATAACAAATGTAAGTGTAAGTATAAGTGTAACAAGCATTTTCCCACTTGTTTTTAATAAAACAGACAGTTTATCACAAAAGGCTTCATGAACTGCCAAGTGACAGGGGATGCACTGAAAGGCTTCTCCCATCTTTCCTCTAATCTCTGCCCAAAGAACTGGACTGTTTTTTTTTTTTTTCTTTTTCTTTGGTCTTATTTAGTAACGCACCTCCACTTCTTTTAACCTCTGTCTGGCAAACCACTGTCTTTATTTGTTTGACTGAAGCTGTCAATTCTGACGTCTTTGTCCCAAAACTGATATATCATATTACCCTCAATAATATTATTAGTGTTACTGCATGGAGTCCAGAAACAGTGACGCATTGAGTCAAATTGTCAGGGTAACAGGCAGCGCCATTCTTAGTTTGAAATTAGAGTATTGACATTAAGCCCAGGCGTATCAATAAGGTGAGAACAACGGTATATTTACACATCTGCAGATTTTCCCACCCTGAGTGTTAAAGGTGTCTTCTTCTTGTCCTTGTGTTTCCTGTGCTTCATAGGCATTGCAAACAGCTATTTTACTATCAGTTTCCAGCCTGTTATTGATAGGCATAAACTGTCATAGCATGTGCATCATTAATCACCTTATCAGCTGTGCAAATTGGAGGATATTTTCCCATTTGCGGATACCAGTAACTAACGTCACAAGCTTTTATCCACCTTTTTTTTTTTTTTAACTATTATTCCTAGTTTCAACAAAAATTGCAACACACTACATTTGAGGCTTGGCGATGTCTGCCAAATTTGTATTTGACCGTGTCTGAGGTAATGCAAAAGCAGTAGCATGAGACCCTTTTAACTTTGTTAGCTGATTCTGAAAATGGCCCAAAACCACAAAACTGTGATGGAAGTGGAGACAGATGAGGGAAACGGAGGGCAGAGTGTTCCTGACAGTGTGAGGCAGGACATCGTGACTCGAGTCTGTTTGCTGCTTTGACATTTTCTGCTCCATGATGAAAGTCTTCACTATGTTTATTTTCTCTTCTCCTTAGAGCTGCCTTCTTTGCTGCCCATTGTGGATGTGGCGGAGGCTTTGCTTCATGTCCGCAATGGAGACTGGTTTCTGTGCCTGTTGGTTGCCAACGTCCCTGACAGCTTCAATGAAGGTAATTCATCTGTTTCATAACACTGCACACGCTGTCAGCTGATAATGTGAGATAGAGTGGCTGGTTAATTGCCGGTACCAGCTTCATATGTTAAGCGAGTGTGCCTGCTGTAGCAGAAATGCAGAGCCTCAGAAGCTGCCTTTGATAGTTTAATTAGAATTATAAGGAGATTGTTCCTGAGCTGCCATCACCTATTTTCATCCTGAGTTTTTCTGTTTCTGCTCTACTTCTGGCCGTGCCACACTGGCCCAAGGGTGTATGTATTTGTCTTTGATTGATGATGAACATTATTGTCTTGCTCTGGCGCACAGAGTGCACCGTCTGTGCTTTCAGAGATGCATTATTAGAAAATTCCCGCTGTCTCCAGTGCCTCCTTATCACACAGAGGGTCAGAGCTAAGTCAATAGCTTTTGAGTGCATTTGTGTGTTTTATATAGCAGTCAGCATCAAGGAGTCCTTTTGGCTTTGTTACAGGAAAAGACCTTGTTTTGTGGAATTGAAAGTGAAATGAACTGATCAAAGGGTGAAGTGTTGAAAATGGCTCTGTCTAGAGCAGTCAAGGTCTGTCGTGTTGAACATGAGCAGGTCACCAGATTTCACTTTGGTGGCTCTTTGATGCTATACAAAATAACCCAAGAGCAGCAGAGAGGGAAACTAATATCATTTCACTGCATGACGTAATTCCTTTGAAAAAGTCAGCTGTGAGAAAGGACAGGGAGATAAAGCTGTGGAAAGGCTGTCTGATGGCTGTTAACGCCTATATCCTAGGAGTATAAATAAATCATATTTCTACAGTTCAGTGTTTTTTTTTGAAAAACATGTCTGGACCATGATGAGATAATTCTGAAACATAAGTGTAACTGTTTGTCAGGGACTTGCAGAACTCCTGAAGACATTTAGAGCAGGTTTACATGATTAAATGAGCATGAAATACACCCTACAACATTGAGTACAGAGTATTTTCCTTCTGCTTGCGGAAAATATAATAATCTGTGTGTTAGTTAACTTGGAAAGTGTATTTTTAAAGGTTTAAATATTGCTTGTTGGGATGAATGACCGTTTTCGTCTTTGCAGTTTGTAGAGGACTGATCAAGAATGGAGAGCGTCAGGATGAGGAGAGTGTGGGTGGTCGACGCAGGACTGAAGCCCTCAGGCAGCTGTGTCAAATGAACCCCTCTCAGGCCCTCAACATCAGGGCTATGGTGGTCAGTATATCAATTGATATTATCACAGGATACAAAGCTATCAGCATTTTAACATTTAATCCATAACCACCCAAATTCTCTCAGTTCATATCAGAGAGTTCATCAAAGCAGTGTTTTTTTCCAGTGGGGATGCACTACTGCTGAATTTATTTTATGCACATTAATTATGCATCTACAAACTAATTCTTGTTAGCACAGTTTGGGCATCTAATGACTTGATGTTGTAAGCTTTCATCATAGTGTTTGTGCTTCAGTATGGTTGTTAAGACGTGGGTTTATGATTTGCGGAAACAAAGTTGAATAAAATGTCAACTATAAGAGGATGTCTTTCTCACCCATCTACACGTCTTTAAAAGGAACAATCATGTGTTTTCAGGCAGATGATTTGAGACAGATTTTTTGATAGCACTTTATCAAGTAGCAACATAAAAACACTGTGACAGATACTGAGGGTGATTCCTGGTGTCACTCAGAGTGAATTATCAGTGAAGGCTGCAGCTTTGAAGAGCTTTCTTGAGAATTTACTGACTTAACTTTTTGTGAGTTACTGTCAGTGCTCTTATTGTATGGCTTAGAGCTGGCCCAGTATATGAGGACATTCAGCAGGTAATGTGCTCAATATTTCTGTCAGACATTGGTAGAGACCAAATCAAAGGACAAAAAGAGAGATCATATATTGTTAGATTGATGTTTTTTAATAAAGGCAGGCATGAATCCAAATAGGATGGCTGTTCTTTTACATATCCAGAGCTTCAAAAGCAACATTAAGAGCTAACAACTATCTCTGACAAGGTAATTTTGAGTCATTTGCTATGATCACACTTTTTCTTTACTGCATTTTAATTTTACTTGAGGGAACTCCAAAAAAGATAAATAAAGTTGTATCTAATCTAATCCAGATAAATAAAAACAGTTATTGGCTCTCTTAAAAGGAATTTCATGATGCTAATTTTCCTGATGAGATAAAACATTAATTAATGCATTATTTTACAGGCTTCTGTCCAAAAAAAATCTTATCTCAATTGGCACTAAGGTTCTGTAGCTTTCAGGTTTAAATCAGTGTGATGAAGTTACAGACAGGATGCTCCTGACATCTGTGCACGTACTTCCTAGTCTATTGAAGTCAGTGTGCTCGCATACTGTTGGAGGCAGGCAGTTACTAGTAAGGTGCAACTGTGATGATGCAATTAGTTTAGTGAGTCTCGGGTTTTCTCACAGGGTCCCATTTTGAGCAGTTTACAGTTTTTAGGATTATGGCAACATGCGGTTACCTCATGATTTGAAACTCTGAATACATATAGTATGGACACCGAACTTTCAGGGTTTGGTGTAAATGTGGAAACGCATGATACCTCCTCTTTAACTGAAACATTGCTTTACTCTTTATTCTTTAAGTCAAGAAAATGGAAAAACCTTTTTAAAAAAATAATAAAAATGTTCAAATCAGGTTTTTTTTTCCCTTTTGGTTATTTTTTTGAGTATCTGGTCAACAGTGAGCTGTGATCTAACACTTGTATTTGCCTAAATCAAAGAGCTGTATGCCCCTTATTCTAAGCAGAGCACAAACACGTGCTTCATCTTCATGATTTGACTGATTATGTTGAATCTGTGTATTTCCAGGTAGAAGAGTGTCACCTGCCTGGTTTGGGTGTTGCTCTGACTCTGGATTATAAACCAGATACAGCAGATGAGGCAGTCAGTCCCCTGGTTTCTTACGTCAGCGGACTACTGCTGGGTACCAACAGCAAAGTCCGGACCTGGTTCAGCATGTTCATTCGTAATGGACAACAGGTGAGGGTCCAGGGTTTTGTTCTGTATGCAGTTTATGTCATTTGGTAACACAGACTCAAACCATACAAGCAACTGTACTGAGAAAAACATAGAAAATGAGAAGATGTTCCTGTGTTTCCTGACTTTTGAGCCACTTATTTATTGATTAAAAAAAAAAAAAAAACACATGAAGCATTTGGCTCTAAATAAAGAATGTAGATGTAAACCGCATTCAGCTCATGTCTTCCCTTCACTTCATCTCTGTAACAGAGAAAGAGAGAAAGCAGCTCAGTGCTTTGGCAGATGCGCAGACAGCTGCTTCTGGAGTTGGTCGCCATTCTGCCTCGCTCACGTAGCACACATGTACCCAATGACCATGACATGGAAGGAGACAGCGGCTCAGGGTACTCTGGCCTTAGAGAGGAGCATGTGGTGAAAGCCAGCGCTCTGCTCAGACTGTACTGTGCCCTCATGGGCATCGCAGGTCTTAGGTAGGTCCATAAGGGTGCAGTTACCCTCCTTATAATTTGTACTTACGTGATCATGACTTTTGTTTGTACTTTGACAGCTTTTTAAAATAATTTTGACACATGAAAGTTGTATTTTTCTAATGACATGCTTTGTGTAGTCCAGAACATTAAAGTTGTTCAGTGTAGGTCAGAGTTTAAAAAGGTTATGTAGATAATGGACTTATTGATCCCACACAGACCTACAGATGAGGAGGCAGAGCAGCTCTTGCAGCTAATGACCAGCCGGCCTCCAGCCACTCCTGCGGGTGTTCGCTTTGTCTCCCTGTCTTTCTGCAAGCTGCTGGCCTTCCCCACTCTGGTGAGGTATGTAAAACCTCCTTTTAACGTCCTCTTTCTTAGAGGTCTTTGTTTTGTTCAGAAAACTCAAATAGGTCAGGACAACAAACCCAATCCAGCTAACAGAGAACTCAAAGTCTGTTTTTTCTGCTAGTGCCTTTTGGCTGCCAAATGTACCCACTGCATTTCTGGCACTAGATATGGTTCTTTTGTTCTATAGAGTGTGGACATTATTCTCTTTGTGGTTCTGTCTGTGTTCAGCACTCCAGAACAAGAACAGCTGATGGTCATGTGGCTCAGCTGGATGATTAAAGAGGAGGAATACTTTGAGAGGTAAGAGGATCCAAATATTTATGAAAATGACGTACAACTGAAGAGATAAACTGCTGTGCTTAATTTGACATATGCATTTAGACAATTCAAAGCACAGCCCCCTCAAATTCACATTCATTTCATTTTACTTGGTTGAATGACACAAGCCGCAGTCGAAAGACAAAGTCTGTGTAAATACAGTAGTCTACAAACATAAGAGGCTTTTTAAAAATGACATGAAGGCAGTAAATGAAGCTGTTAATCTCTCCCAGTATTCAAATGTTGATTTTCATGTGATCATAAATCAACACTAATGCTGTATTGTTGCCGTTGCAGTATTATGTTCTATTAATGTAGCATTAACTAGTGTAAAGAAGCATTAACATGTCATTGACAAAGGGCCGATTAAGGGTGTTGTAGAGGGGAAAGAGTGTGACAGATTACCCAGGGCCCAAACAGACTAGAGGACTCTTGGTGAGCCTGAAATGAAAAAATACTGTTTTGCATTTTATTTTAGTGAAGCGGAAGTAATGTCAAAAGTTTCCTTGACATACAAAATAAGTGTTGATCAAAAAAAATATCACATGTGTAAAATACCATATAGCCTCCCTCCTAATAATTTACCTCCAATTTTTTTCTGCTGATGCCTGCTGCTAGATAGTCCCCCTGCAGCGGATTCCTTTGGTCTGTCTTTACCTACACATAAAAGCAGTAAAAAGGGAGGGAGGGGACTTCTGACTGTTTAGTAAACAGGCTACAAGTGTTATATTCTGTTACACCACTAATATCACACAGCTAATGTTGAAAACATTTAAATATTACACTTGCCATGGTACTCATCAATACCAAGAACATTAACTCTCTCTGTTATCTTGTTTTTTTCTGTGTTTATGTTATTCAATTTTTTTTTATTTACTTTGTCTGTTAATAAAATGTTGAACTAATCTCTAGTTTCTTTAGTTTTTTAGCACAGATGCTCTAAAACTGGCAGTTTAAAAAAAAAGTGATAATAATCAAGATCAGACAATATGACAAAACATGTTTTTTTTTGCCGAATTGCCTAGTTCTGTAACCAAGAGGGAGTCATTACAGAAAACCTGACATCGTTCTTTTTTTCCAAACATAACAGTTGAAACTTTGTATCATCAGCATTAAACATTATATCACTGACAATGCATTGATAACATTTGCGTTAACATTAGGGTCATTTACACGGACTTGAGCTAAATATTCATTAAACTTCTCCTTGCATAGGCATGACCATTGACATGGAGCAGGAACTCTGTATCATGATAACAAGTCCATGATACAGTATATTTGTGATATTTTATAGACATGACAGATGAAGGATAATTTTCCCACAGAATATAAAAGCAGCAAGTTAAATTTCAAGTTTAATGTCTAAAAAGCATATTTGAGTTGATTGTACAACTTGCATTTACTTTGTTTATGTCTATTGTTAGGATGTGTTTATATTGCCTCTGTAACTGTTTGTTCTTTGCTCAAATAGGCAGTGATAAACTCAGCAGAGCTTTTGTATATTTGTTCAAATGAAAGTTATTATGAGCTGTCATGGAAAGAAATAAAGACTGTAGTTTATATGGATGTATGTGTTTGTTCAAATCGACTCCATAAAGCATAGATCATCGCTGAAGCTTAAAGGGGACACAGGTTGATGGAGGGTTTGTGTGTCGGCCTGTGTTTATTTGCGTTTAGATTAATGGAACCTGCATAATCAGCGTATTAATTTTCTCTCCTGTGAAATGCAGGATTAACAACGAGTACAAGTGTCTTTTCTCACTCTCCATGCATGCATATGTGTGTCCTCCTTACAGTGCTGCGGGCGTATCTGCTTCTTTTGGAGAGATGCTATTACTGGTTGCCATGTATTTCCATAGCAACCAGCTCAGCTCCATTATTGAGTTGGTCTGCTCTACTTTGGGGATGAAGGTAAGGTGGTGGGAGGCAGTGATCAATACATCAGTCTGGCTGACCAGCTGCTGGCCCCACTCCTCCTCTACAGCACATAAAGACTGTATCCCTGATGAAACATTGCAGCAAGCAAATATCTACAAAGTCGCTCTATTACCCCGTAGCCAATGTGTTCTTTTATTACTTATTAAGTGCACTATTGTTTCCTGCTTGTGTACTAAGTAGTTTCCCTGTCTCAGTGTATTTTCCACTAAGATGTACAATGTAATTGGATTTAGAGCCTGTTTGTTTCCTCCCTGAGGGCAATCCTCTTGATTTAGTGTTGGGCCTGCCATGTAGAGTTTTCCTATAAAATATGAAAAGAGAGAAATTACAGAGTACCGGCACCGCTGCCTGCAGGTGGTTTTCACTCACAGTAAACCTAACATTGTTCTTGTTCTTCAACTTTTCTCCAGATCGCCATCAAGCCAAGCTCACTCAGCAAGATGAAGACAATATTCACACAGGAGATCTTCACAGAACAGGTATGCACGGTTTATTAGCAATCTGTCCTTGGGTAAATTTCAGCCTGCTTGTTGCAGTTTTATAAATATCAGTGCTCATTAATTTGTCAAGCCGAGACCAAGCTGCTGTAAATCCAAGAACTGAAAGCTTTTAGTTCAATAGCTTTTCAAAATGAAATAAAATATCCATGTTAAAGTTTTTATTTTTTATACAAGAAAACACTATAGAAAAGAAAACAAGAAAAGGTGGCCGTAAGAACCATTGAAAGAAGTCACTAAAATCAAAGCAAGAAAGCTTAAAACAAGATAACAATAGAGGGTTGAATATGATGTGGTGCAGATCTGTATATTAGTAATCGTAATAATATAGTAATCATCTTTATTTAAAATTCAGGTCTGAGTACATGACTACAGCAAGATTTGTGGCTTGGTCAGTTGTTTTCACCTGTAACATCTGAAGCTGCTGACTGACCTTTAATCTTTCCTGTGTGGCTCCAAAAATAACCTCCGCAGTTTATCTAAGTACAAGCGAAGATCCCGTCATGAATTTGTCGGAGGGACTAATATTACATCACCAGTGGTCATTTTGGTGACTCTGAAGCTAAAAAAGACAAAAACTGGTACTCTGTTATCCTTAATCAAGTGATGGTTTCAGTGAATGAAATCCTTGATTTCAATAAGGGGAGTTAGAATTGTTGGTTAGTTGTAAAACATTGCAAAAGTTACAGTAACCTGAAAAAGTGCCATTGTGCACAAAACAGTTTCAGTCATAATATAAAGCCTCTGAGGTACGATCAGGAGATTTAAGCACTTCTATCTGTATTTTATCCAAAATTGTTTTGAATTTCGATGAGTTACTAAGAATTGTGGTCTATCAAAAGATAATTTTATTGTTTAGAGATAACGAACGTTAGAAAGATGTCTGTTTTGACTGATCATTGGAGTGGATTACTGTGAAAACTCTGGCAAACTTAACATAAGTCCAAATTAGTCCAAATTGTAAACATTATTATTCCCATGAGGTAAAGTGTTAACAGACTTTGTGGGTGTTTTTCTCCAATTTTGCTATTAAGACGACTTGTTTGTTGCTGCTTGTGTGTAGGTGGTTACTGCTCATGCTGTGAGAGTCGCAGTGACCAACAACCTCAGTGCCAACATTACAGGATTCCTCCCTATCCACTGCATCTACCAGCTGCTCCGAAGCAGAGCCTTTACAAAGCACAAAGTGTCAATCAAGGTAGGACACATGCATTTCTTAAGTCTATAGTGGAAGCTAGATGACTAGCTGCTGAGCCTTATGCCTGATTTAAAATGTATTCTTCCCTCTGGTGTCGTGTCCTTGTGTGCATCATCCAGGACTGGATCTACAGGCAGCTCTGCGAAACAACCACCCCCATCCACACCCAGCTGATTCCCCTCATCGACGCCTATATCAACTCCATCCTCACTCCAGCCTCCAAGGCCAACCCAGAGGCCACCAACCAGCCAATCACAGAACAGGAGATCCTCAATGTCTTCCAGAGCTCTGCTGGGGTGAGTCAGTCTGTGTGAGTCACAGAAAGGACAAAAAAAAACACAAACTCCACCCTGAGAAGATCAGTGCATGTGTGGTTATGTTGTGTGGTTTGAACTTTCAGTCACACATCTTTGGCTTCCTAGAATAAACAGTATGCAGAAAACCCAGACATACAGTAAAGGTAGATTAGATAAAGAAAACAAAAGGTCCAGGAATATTGTGTACCTAGCTAGGATAGAGTTTAATGTTGTTCCTAACCAAACGCATTGATTTACATTTACTGGGACATTTTGATAGCATGTTGTTGGGCATTCTTTTTCCGCCGTTTTAATTAAAAAATAAAATGTGTGAATCTAAGAAAATAAGGTAGAATAATAATAGTGTTGTTGACTAATGTAGTTAAAGGATTTTTTAGTGTTAACACGATATTAACATTCACAACAGTACATCCTAAAGATCTAAATGTTGTCTAAGATTAAGACCAGTTGTTCTTTAAGTTTACTTTTGGGCTTGTTGTGCCTTAATTTAGAGGTAGGACTGTGGAAACTAGAAAACTGGGGCGAGAGAGTGGGCGCTGACATGCAGAAAAGAGTATACTGCCCTCTCAGACTGTTGCCTCTGTACATAAGGCATGTGGTTTCACAGCTGAGCTAAACTGGTGCCTAATAAGTAAAATCATTGGGTCTAATTGAAAAGTGCTTTTTGCTCAGAATCAAATGCTTTTACTATTGGATAAAGGCCTGGGGTTGTGGCCATGCTTTTACAGCATATCGATTTAGCTGAAGTCACTTTTCAGCTACTCTGTAATTATTTGGTTCCAATTTGATGTTAAAGAAAAGGACTTTCTGTATTTATTGTATATTTATTAGCACAAGCAGTGAGAGAAACATAAAGGATAGTGTATGCAAATAAAAAAAAAAACAGCTAATTTAAACTTGAATTGTTTTAATTTGATAGTGATGCTTCAGTGGTAGGGCCTGATGATTTCCTCAATAGGTATAATACAGATGAAATTAAGTATTACCTGTAAAACCAAGGTTATAGTAGAATTTACTTGAACTAAGTTGCTTGATTTAGTCTTGGTCTTCGTGTCTGGACTAAAATGCCCTTCAATTTTAGTCACATTTCAGTCATTTTTGTCCTGAATAGTTTGGGTCTCGTTTTAGTTGATAGTCAGAACATCTTTACTCTTAGTTAAAAGTTGGTAACAAGGCTATAGCTGTTTAAATCTGTAGTGCTCCAGTCTTTGGACTCTATAGCTTGTGTAATATCTGAATTCATTGCCACAGTTTGATGATTTTGTTCAGATCACATTTTGTTATAATTGGCCTATTAAGGGGAATGTTATTTAAAATGCAAGTTACATTATGTGAGCGTCTCTGTAAAATGTACTGCTGATGAATATTGTGAATAAAGAAACTGAAAAATCTGTGAAGGTAAACGATCCATCCCCACACTTACTGGTGATTAGGAGATCCATCGACCTGCCCCTCCCTGACCCCTAATTTGCTTCTGTCTTTCTCTGTCGTTTAGCAAGGGGAAGGTAGTCGAGGAGGAAGACAGCGCTACTCTATCACCACACAGCTCCTTATCCTCTACTACATCCTGTCTTACGAGGAGAACCTGTTGGCAAGCACCAAACAGCTGGGTATGTACAAGACAGTAACTGTCTTCCATAGAACTCCACACTGTGGCTGGTTTTCCACTGGGCTTCATTTTTAATGTCTTATTTTCGTTTCAGCTGCCAGTCTTAAGTGCATCCATTGTCATCTCCTCCTCTGAAGGAGGCGTTGTTCGCTCAATGGAGAGAATTTGTCAGGCAGTTTAGAGGAGAACGGCAGCTTTTGTCCTCTGTGAAGTTGTAGGAGATGCTCTCACTCTGGATGTACAGTCATTCATCCTCTTCTGAATGTTGGCTGCTTTGTAGAGAATAAATGGAGGGCTGACAAAGAGCCAGACACAATGGCTGCAGAAGCTGAGCTAACTAGGACAGCTGTAGGTTAGATTGAGCATTAGCAGTTAGCCTAGTCAGTGTTTATTCTCTCCCATGACGAGCTCTCCTCTTGCCCTTCATTAGGCCAGATTTATGTGAGAGTTTATGCCCATCTCTTTAATTGCTCTGTTTACCCAAGTGCTCCCACAGCCTTCAAGGAAGGAGTAATGAAGCCCATCAGCAGTGGTAATGAACCCACGTCAATGAAAAATCACCTCCGCTCCTCTAACTCATCGGCACAGCAGCTCTGGCGTCCTTACATCCCCCAATAAAACACTCATGCTTCATCTTGTCCTTTTCTGACTTCATGTTCTCACCCTCTCTGTGTCCTGTACTATTGTTTCTTCACTCCACTCACACCCTTTGTGACTCTCTTTTTTTTTAAGCCCTTATGCAGAGGAAGCCAAAGTCCTACTCTGCAGCTCTAATGGACCAGATCCCCATTAAGTACTTGGTTACGCAGGCCCAGGGTCTGCAGCAGGAGCTCGGAGGTGAGTTATGGCCTCAGTGTTTGGTTACCTCTCTACATCTGACTTTTATTTAAGCAATGTGGGTTTATATGGAGGCTATCAATCAAAACATTGTAAAACTAAATTGGAGCTGTAGCCTCTCATTACGTTTCACTCCTGAGTTCATATCTCTTATAAGTTCTCCATCTGCTTGTCTTTCCAATGTCTTTAAACAACAGGGAGCTGATAATTCAGAGTCTACTACCATTTGCAAATGCACTTGGATTTTCTTTTGCTTATACTCAGACCAAAGCCAGCATTACAAGTGGAAAATTAATAAATGTAGTCTCAAAACAGTCCCTCAGAGCAAAGTTTTATCCAAACCCAGCCATCTGCAGAATTCTCCCTAAATAAAGTACGGATCAGTGTTTCCCCCTCAGCTCCTGAGCTGTTTCTCTTCTAGATGTGCTCAGCTTGATTCTCAGATAAAGCTAAAACTAGATGTATGTTGTCTAAAATACTTAAAAATTGTAAGCATGAAGGTCCTGTCCATATGTTTGTGGATATTTTGGAAATGCAGTTTTTTTTCTTCTTCCCTTTGAACTTAAGTGTACACATAATAGAGTTGAATATCATTGGTAATTGGAGATGGAAAAACACAGATCAAGACAGAAATTTTCATCTCTTTGTGTGGACAACAAAAACTTCGAGTTTTGGGATCCACTGATGTCATTAACCTCTGGTGTTTTTCATATATGTAGCAGGTTTATTAGATTTTCTTGCATGATTACAAGTAACCTAGTCAAATTTGACCACAATACCGTGGGGCAAATTAATGAATCATGCTCAAAAGTTTTTGACTTGCTGCTCCATACACAGTTAAAGGACAATGTTTACAGTTGTTGCTTTCTAGGTAAACACTCAATACCCCGGTGCACAGTGTTCTTTTTTGTGTTGATATGAAGGAATGATTGTAATTATATCCACCCTCTGGCCTGACATGCTTTTGTTGATCAATTCAGCAGTTTCTTAGTTACCATGGGGAAAGATAAATATCCAAAACACCTCTGGTAAGGACAGAATTTTCTTTTAAGAACAAAGAGAAGAAAAAAAAACAGTTTTAAAAATATCCGCAACACAAGTCCAGCAAGAGTTGGTCTACAAGGTATTGTAAACGGTGCAAATGCTGTTATTAGTTTGGATGAACAACAAAAAAGGGTTAAAAGAAGTTCACAAATAGTTGGGATTATGTTTTACAGTACAAATGTAGTCAGGTTCAATCCTATATGACATGAGCTGTCTTTTAAGGATGAAAACATGTGTTTGAACTGAACGCACAACATGAGGAAATAATAACCCGTAATTTCTTTGAGTAGTAAATTTAGTATTTTTTTTCTTTCTTTTTCCTTCCTTTTCCCCATCTTTCCCCCTTTTTTTTCCATTTTCCTTCCTTTCCCTTTACCCCCTCCTTTCCCTGTTCTTTCCTTTTCCCTTTTCCTTCCTTCCTCCTTTCCCTGTTCACCACTGCTGTCTCAACCGCCTCTTCTTCATATCGCTCTTCCCCTTCTTTCCCCCATCTACCCCTTCTTCCTTTCTTCTTTTCTTTTGCTCCTCAGGTCTGCACTCTGCCCTTCTGAGGCTGCTGGCCACCAACTACCCCCACCTGTGTCTGGTGGAGGACTGGGTTTGTGAGGAGGAGGTGACTGGTACCCTGCCACTGCTGAGGAAGATGATGCTCCCCAGCAATACCTGCAGATACACTCAGAGCCAGCTGCACCAGGGTGAGGAGGCTGGAAGGATAGGGTTAATAAGGTTTTTAAGATATTGTGCAAAATTTTAGAATAGTGAGTAGTTTCACCAAAGTAACCAACAATCGTTGAAGATAAATGGCATAAACGACACCTGGCTGGATTATTTACACCGTTTGTATTGTAATATATTGTAAAAAGAGAAAGAAATGTTTCATACATAAAGTCATTGTTCAAATTATATAGTTTAACTGATATTTATTTAGGTAGAAAAGAGTAAAGCAAAAAAACCCCAAACATCTGACTTTGAAATGGACCAGCTGTAGAGATACAGATCTAAGAGCAGAGGTTGTATTTCTGAGAGAGTGGTGTTATCAATCTTAGTGGAGCAGGTAAGAGATACTGCTGTTGTGTATTATGTTTATAGGTAAGAGCTCTTATCCAACAGGAATCTCACATCAGTGGTTAATCCTTCAGGGTTTAGAGGATTATGCTGTAAATTGCTTTTTCTTGATAAAGATCCTTGGCGAAAAGGAGAAGTGTTACCTATAATCAGTTTGTGGTGCCATTATGAAGGTTCAAGTACCAAATAGTGAAGACTTTTTATGGATGGTAGTTTGTCTGTTTTCATGCAACTGACACAACAGTTTGTTCAGGATACTGATACAGGAGAGTCTATAAATGGTGAGTAATGATCTGACCTGTGTTGGGGAGGGTTCGCCAGCACAAACTTAAAGAATAAGCTGGATAATCTTTTTTTACAGAAGCGTATGGCATTCACATACAAAAAAATAGGAAACAATTGTTTTAAGGTTTTTTTCTTTGCTGTTTTTCTGACTGTTTTTTCCTTCTGTTTTCTGTACTAATAAGTCTTTCCCCACTTCCTGTTTTCCGGACAAATTTTTATTCTGTTTTTCGCACTATCGTTTCTTTTATCTTTCTGTTTTTCAAACTTCATACAATCAAATAACGTTAACCACCGCGGCTGTTCCAAATCAGCACAATCTCCAGCTCCTAGTTAACTTCGACTACAGGGTCAACGAGACTAAAACATGTACTAGTTACATACACAGGGTTTGCAAATCCTGAGGTGCCTGGGCAAAGTAGACAAACTTATGACAATTCCATCTTTCTGACTTAAAGAAAAGAGTATCTCCCAGTGTCTCAAACCCCAAAAAAGTCAAACTTGATTAAAATAAACAAGTGGGCCATGTTTGCTTTCAATAGATCGAGCAGAGGGGGATGAAAGTGTCTGTTTTTAAATGACCATGATCCCAGAGAACAGGGAAAACAATTAGTCTGAAAAACAAAACAAAAAAAATCTGGAAAACAGAAAAGAAAAAAAAAACTTCTGGAAAAATAGAGCCTTTTTTTCTTGGTGAATGCAATGCGCTTCCGTACATTCGAAACTACTCTTAAACAGTAAGATAACAGGGAAACCAGTGTGGAGTATTTCCCAAAGGACTGACTGCTTTTCATTCAATTTCGTATAAAAAGTCACATCAGACTTCCTACACCTCCTCTGGTGTATGGATTATTTAATTTCACAGTTTTAATTTGACTGCACAGATACAGAGTCCCCAGGATTAGGACCAAAACAGACGTTACAGTCTTTGTCTATCATAGATTTCAGCTGCTGCACAAAATGATCCACACGCTGAAATTTACATGCTGCACTTAATTAAACTTTTGATGATCCTCATAAGTAACTATGTAGTGCTTTAATGATGCACTTTTTAAACATCTTGTTTAATGTTTATTTATGCTCTCATATGGATTTTGATGTCTTTGTAGTTAATGTGTTCTTCTATGCTCTTGGTGCAAAGCTGATCCTCCTTAGAAAAACGGGAGAAGTTACATTTTATTTCAGTGAATTAGGAAATGAGTTAGAAAAGAAAAACAGCTCATCTTCTTGTAGGGTTTGTTGGTGTGAGGTGATCAAAGGTTTCATCTTAATCAGATCAGCAAACTGCTGTGTGTGTGAAACTTAACCTTTCCGGTGTGACCAGTATCAGTGTCTGTTTCCTGTCGTTTTAACACACAAAGCGATTATACACTTGTGTTGCCTTAAGGTGAAAGGATGATGATTCTGTGCCTGTTTATTAAACCTAAACGAGTGAGTTTTCACATGCTGCGACTGCTTAGCACTGAAATAACCTCGATCTTGGGTTGTTGTTGTTTTTTTGTTTGTTTTTTTTTGTTTTTAAATTAGTCCATATTAAGACTAAACACACTGTTTCTCTCCCTTCTAAGCCTTTCAAAAGTTACCATCCAGTAGTCCCAGGTTGATGAGGATCCTGGAGCATCTAACGCTGCTTTCACCTGGAGACCTGATCCCTTACGCTGAGGCCCTTACAGCCAGCATGGCTCTGCTGCTGGAGCCCGCTGTGCCTCGCCGAATACTGCAGACGCTCAACAAGCTCTGGATGGGACTCAACACTGTGATGCCCCGCAGGTACGTAATTAGGGTAAGGAATAGAAAACACCTCTGTTAAATGGGTGTTTGAGCGTAGATCAGTCAAAAATAAATTTAAAAAACAGCATGCATTTACTTGTAAAAATTGGGTGTTTTTTGCTTCACCAAACAGCAAAAATGAAAAGTAAATAAAAGAAATCAAAGCCTTTAGAAAATCATCCAATTATGTACAGTTATTTTAATACAACAACATCCCCTGGTTAAAGTGACTTACTGTATTTCCAGTTAAAGGTCAACAGTAGTACCTGAGCCAGTGTTTTCTTTCCCAAGGCGTTCTGAAGTTGCTATGAGACTCGGTAAACGGATTAAAGGAAGCACTGTGGAACAAGAGTTGTTGCCCTTGACCCCAGGCTGCTTGTTCAATGATTATTGTGCGAATAGATCAGATGTATTGAGTCGGACTACTGTGTCAGCCTGTGTGAACTCTCTGGACAGAAGAGGGTGACCCTCACTGTGCCCCAGGGCCTTCAGGAGCACAGTTACCAAAGCTCAGAGCAGACATCCTATCGATCTTAAAGGGAACCGTAACGAGAAGAGCTCTGGGCGTGAAAAACCGAAAGAGAGTCCATGAAGAAGATGTGAGGGCTTGATGCCTCCTCCTCCTCCTCTTTTCCTCACTCCCTCCTGTAGTATTGAATGATGCATCAGGCTGGACCAGAGGCTCTGCTTGATCATAATGTAGGAGGAGGGCAGGAGTGCCAAATTTCACACAGATCTGTTGATTGATGTGAGCAGCAGGAAGGCTGAGCGCTCCAAGAGTAGCCTGCTGTTCGTAGTTTAGTTATGATCTGATAAGAGAAAAGAGGGTGAAAAGCTGCTACAGGCTAAATTATGTTTCACTGAAAATATTGAAATCATTAAGCCACCTGCTGAGGTGTGTCTCGTGTTATATTTCAGTGGCATTTCTGTATTTTTTTTAAACTCATAACACAGTAAATCAGTATCCCTGTGATGTATCCAACAAAGACTTCTTTTAACTATAAGCCTATTCACATTCTAGGAATGTATCTGAATGTATTTCCCTGATTTCTCTATAAAAGCCAAGCCAAAAACAACGAGTGCGTGTGTCTGTGTTTTAGGTTGTGGGTGATGACAGTGAATGCCCTCCAGCCCTCAGCTAAGCTGCTCCGACAGCAGAAGTACACTCAGAATGACCTGATGGTGGACCCTCTCATAGTGCTGCGCTGTGATCAGAGAGTTTACAGGTAACTGCAGAACATGTTGTGAAGCCGTTTATAGTAACAATCACCACAAAAACACTGAAGTTTGTGTTGAATGGTTGGAGTGTGTGGGCAGCATATGAATCCCTGTGTCAGGAGGTCTCAAACTCATGTATACAGTCTGTAAAAACATGGATGTTAGTTGAAGTTTAGACCATTTTGACTCACACACAGTTAACTATATGTTTACAAAATGCCAGAATAATTTAAATTTAACACCTTCAAAGTATATGTCGAGTTTGTATTGAATTAGAAATTAACTGTGTCTATGTGCTGTCTGTAATTTTATATTGTTTTTTTCAAAGTTACTGTCTAACAAATGTATCTAACAATTTTTTTTTCTTTTTGATTTGTATTCAGTATTTCAATAATAACTTAAGTTTAGTAAATTAAGTTTGTTTGCATCTTGAATATGTATTTTTTTACTTATGAATCTTAAGGGACATGTGAATGAGTACTCGTTGTATTCATGTTGATTTTTGTATCTAGAGGTAGATGCACTTATCTTTCCTTGTCAGTGAGCACAGGCTGACCTCTGATCCTAAACAAGTAAACCTAAAATCACTGCTTTGATCTTTATTTTTCCTTTCTTTCTTTGTGCCAGGTGTCCTCCCCTGATGGACATTGTTCTTCATATGTTGAATGGCTATCTGCTGGCCTCTAAAGCCTACTTACACTGTCACCTAAAGGAGACGGCTGACTTTGACCGTCAGAGCCAGACTGTCTCAAACCTGGGTGTTCCTGGACAGCCAGATACACCTGAGGTCACCAGGGAGGAGCTGAAGAACGCTCTTCTATCCGCACAGGTATTCAAACAATGAACAGACACATTCAAACTCCTGCTGTCTCATATCTTTGAGGAAGAGTCATCCTGAGTTTAAGTTTCTCATTTCTAGATTTGAAAGTTGTAAGTGCATTTTAAAAAGTTGGAATATTTTGAAAAAATTAAAAGTGTTTTAAAGTGTTTCATGTGTTCTTTGACATAAACTTTGATAATTATGTCCCAAAGCAAAAAAAAAAAATAAAAAAATCAGAAAAGTGAACCACTTTTTCTTCAGTCAATAAAGGTGATTTAAACATATATGTATGAGTTTAGGACTAGTTTTGTGGATTATTTCAACCAATGGGGTTTGTTGCACATATATTCAGAAATACTCTAAGACTATATCCTTTTCAAAATGTCTCAAAGATTACATTCCCCTCTGAACACATTATCCACTTGTTTCATTTAACCCCAGGATAGCGCAGCTGTCCAGCTCCTCCTTGAGGTCTGCCTGCCAACCTCTGAGGAGCAGCAGCTGGGGGCAAACACAGAGAGCCTTCTGAGGAGCATCAGGGACCCTGTTCTGGGCAAATCCAAACAGGGAAACCTGGGGCCAAAAGCTACAGGGAGCTCAGAGGACGCTGAGCCGGAGCGGGGTCTGCTCAGTGACCTGAGGGAGGTGCAGTGTCTTATCTGCTGCCTGCTGCATCAGATGTTCATTGCCGACCCAAATATTGCCAAACTGGTCCACTTTCAGGTAAGACAATAGAGAAATATAAGTGAGCTGAACTTTTTATACCTGTTTTCAGTGAAAGTGTAAAAGCTGGCAGGTTTACAGAGTCAGGAACATGAAACACAGTGTTGTATTAGGGCCTGATCCAAGACCAAGAGGGGCATGTTTTGTTGTTGACACTTTGGCTTCAATCACAGCCTCAGTTTGACATTCCTGCATGACTACATTTTCTTGCCTCCCTCCAAGTTTTGCCATTAGAAAGTAATGATATCATGCGAAAGCCCCTTTTGTGAGGAGTGGAGTCGGTAGTGCCATATGGCTGAAAATACCTTCCAGTCAGTTTTTCAGGAAGAGCCAAGTCATGCTGACCCCATTAGTCACCACACTCTGCCATGGCTTTAGTGGTGAGTGGCTGCAGCTCTCTCCCAGGAGGGGCAGACAGCCATATGGTGGACTTCATCAAACCAACCCCTCCTCTTTCACCCTAATCCACCACCGTCCTCATGGCCTGGAAAAAAACTGCTCTTGGAATTTTCTCCTGAGTTTGATGTAAAAGTGCTTCAATCACAACATGATTGAATCCACTGAGTATTCTCCTCTTCATCATCCTTGGATTTTGTCAGCAGATTTATTTTTCTTGTCCTCTCCCCATCTCCTCTCTGTCAGGGTTACCCTCAAGCTCTGCTGCCTCTCACTGTGGCAGGCATTCCCTCCATCCATATCTGTCTGGACTTCATCCCAGAGCTGCTGGCCCAGCCCCAGCTGGAGAAGCAGGTGAGCCCCTCCCCCCTCCCTCATCTCTTCATTTCTCTTATTCCTGGCTTTAAATCCTGAACTTGTCCCGTGCTTTCTGCCAGAGTATCTTTTACACTGGTGTGGTTTTTTTTTAAAGAACTTGTAAATCTATGTCCCTGCAGATATTTGCTATCCAGTTGCTGTCATACTTGTGCACCCAGTACGCCCTGCCCAAGTCGCTCAGTGTGGCCAGGCTGGCCATCAGTGTCATGGGCACCCTGCTCACAGGTTAGTCAAGTTATCTGTTGTTGTTCTTGTCTTTACATCTCATGCACTTTATTTTTTTCTTTCCATCAGTCAGAGCTGCTCAGTTATTGAATTGATTGATATTGAGGTTAAAATGACTAAAAACAGATCGAATCGAAAAACAGAACGAATTAACGCAACTTTAAACCTTTTCTAAACTTAAAAACTCCTAACTCTTAAAAACTTAAAAACTCCTAACTCTTCAAAAAAAAACAGCAAGTGGAGAAAAAAATAGCTTTTTTTCTTTCCTTTTTTAAATTTGTACTTCCTTGAAAAGGATCACGCATCTCTTCTTCACTTTCAGATTAATTTTATTTGGGTGATAATTCTCACTAAATTGTCACTCTTTTGAAGGATTTGAACAGGCTGCAGATCTGACAAATCAATCAGTATTTTCAAGCTTGTACACGATGTCATTTTAACCTCAGGACTGTGGCTTGTATTTGATTTTGATTCAGAACGCTGCAAACAGCTGTTAGCTCAGTGGCGCTCATGTATGCATGTGACTGCCACAGACCCACGTGTTGTGCTCAGTCAGTCCCTTGGCTTTTCAGACACACCTGCTCCTGCCTCCTTCTGCTCTCCTCTCCATCTTTAGCTGCCTGACCGTTTGTATTGCTGTAGGACAACGTGTTGAAGATAAAGTGGTCCACCATGAATCTTAGCTGCAGCTTCAACACTTTGTTTCTCATTGATCTTAGCTGCTTATTATGAAGAGAAAGTCCACAATCTACTGTTAAGTAAGTAGAGCCAGTGTGTGCTTCATTTAACAAACAGGAAGTGACAACACAGAAGACAACATAATATATATTTTGTTTTTTTATATGATCATAGGGAGCCAAAGTCGTAATCAAAATTAAGATCCCATGAATCACCCAGCTCTGGCCAATACCAGTGTTTTCTGCCTTTCTTCTCTGTTTTTTTACAGGCTACTACAGGATAGTCTTTGCACACTCGTAGCACTAATAAACTGTATATCATAAATATTAACTTTGATTAATATATAAACCATATGTGAGGAGAGAAGAAACTTTTCTGTTTTTTTACTAGCTTCTTTTCTGCATTTGGTCTCCATCATGAATCCTCTCCCCTCAGACTGACAGTACACTGTGTTGATCCCAGTACAGCTGATATACAGTACATGGTTTATGTCATACAGTAGATGTAGATGTATTTATCCCTTTATTTGGCTGCCACCATCTGGCCTTTGGCTGTTAGTGCATCCTCCTCGCTCCATTATATAAGTGTACAGTGTGTACCACTTCACCAGCCCCTCTGTTTATGCAGCTCTTGTGTGTTCACCGATGTGTTTCTGTCTTTTTTTTTTTTCAGTGCTGACTCGTGCAAAGCGTTTCTCCTTCTTCATGCCCATTCTGCCGTGTCTGGTGGCCTTCTGCCAGGCCTTTCCCCCTCTTTATGATGATGTGGCTGCTCTGTTAGTACAAGTGGGCCAAGTCTGTGCCTCTGACGTCACCACCAAAGCCAGGGACATCGACCCTCTTATCGCCCGTGAGTATAATTAGTGGTTGACTTTGTGATGGTTGGTTTGAGAAAATGTTAGAGTTTTGATTCATTAGTTCACACTTTTTGTCAGTACATGATTTATAATGACTCTCTTCAATATCATTTATTCATCACCACTGTAAAAGCATGACATGGATATAGTATTTATCATTGAGCTTCTCAGTAAGAATCACCATCTACAGATGTTAAGGTTTTTCATCTTTAAGATTATGAACAGAAATCTTGGCTTCAGAACTTTCTCTATTCGTACTTGAATTCATAATTGTCCAGGACATGGTTTTTAATTTCTGATTGTAGCTTTTGCCCCAAAGGCTGAATTAATTATGAACAGCACTAGATTAACCAACAGTTTAAAGACAGGAATTAAAACATAGAGCCATCTGCGGGCTCTGTATGTTTGTTTGTTTGTTTGTTTGTTTACTTTCAAATTAAATTGATAGCTGGTCTGTTTGTGAAACGTTTTACACCACACCAGTCTGAGTACAGTGTTGAGTATACCTGTTCATTATTTTAGCGTTAATCCAACTTAGATCAGTATTTTGTTAGGTGAACAGATCTGAATGAATTTAAAACATTATTTAAAGTTTTTTTTTCCATATTACTGGGAGTCAGTCATCATCACAGGCTGAGTTTGCCAGAGGTTTGAACTCTGTAAACAAAACTCATGATCAGCCTTTCATATTCTAATCCACTTTACTGATAGAGGACATTTCATCTAAAAATCTCCACCAAAGTGCTACACAGTGTGACAAAAGAGCAGAATTAAAAGCTCTAAAATACACAAGACAAAAGCGCAAAAGACATTGAAAACTACATTTTTAAAAATGTCCACCAACAATAAACACTTCAAACAAACAAAAGCCAAATTAAAACAAAAATAGTTAATAGGGGGAAACAAAATCACCATGGAGCCACACAGAGCACACGATTCTTTGATGGATTAATAGCCAAGGAATAAAACTATGTTTTATATATTTATGGAAAACTTTGAATTACAGCACAATTCATCAAATTGAAGAAAGGCATTTTTTTATTTTTACCCTGTATGTGATGACACCTGATTCTTAACCAGTGTGTAGTTAAGAAGTATTCTCACATGAGGGCCTGTGTCCATTAAACATGTTTGTTTTTGCACTGGCAGCACCCATGCCATGACTTTATTTTCAAAGCACGTCTCACTGTCAGTGTGAATGCCTGTGTAGTGTGTGTGTGTGTGTGTGTGTGTGTGTGTGTGTGTGTGTGTGTGTGTGTGTGTGTGTGTGTGTGTGTGTCTGTTTTAAAACACTTTATGCTTTGTGTTGGTTTTCACTCATCAGCTTTTTACAAAGAAAACATAAATACATAGATGTAAATCATGTTGTAGCGTCAGCAGCAGCTCCAGGACTGTAAATCATGCCTTGAATAAGTGAGTGTGATAGTTCCCTCAGCCTTTGGACCTCTGTCTTTGATAACAGAGGTGTATCTTCTCCATCCCTCAGGTCTGCAGTATATGAGGGAGAAACCTCAGAGTGCTGTGTCTCCAGGAGAAGCTTCCTCAAAGCTGAGTTTACCCCAGAGGACAGCTGAGGAGCTGGGTGGAGCTGACCCTGACGTCCAGCTATGCTACTGTGTGGAGGCCACCTTCATGGAAATCATTGGCTCCACCCTGCATGGACTATAGAACAGACTCAGGCTTATTGTTGAAGATGAGGAGGGACGGACAACTGTAAACACTTCCCCTGAGGGACTTCAGCCCACCTGCGAGGCTCAGCACACATCCTGTTAGGTTTGACTAACAGACTCTGACTCCTGTCACCTTTTGTTGGAGGTTTTCAGGAAAGGTTCATTCCGTGCTCACGATGGGGCGGGCCGTGCTGGATATATCCTCTCTGTTCCGCCTGCACTTAGGTCAAGTTCTGATCAGCATTAGGCTCCTTTTTGATTCCCTGTAAATTTATAATGATTTGCTTTATATTTAGAAAATGTGTTTGTGCTGTCAGAGTTTGTAGAAAGTAAAATATTGAAAATGTTAAATGGGTCCATTTTCTTGACCTCGAGGCATATTTTTCTAAGATTAAAACATTTGACCTTTTTACTCGGAAACTGGAAAAAAGGAAAATGTTGCCTTGAAATAATGTTTAGTTTTTGTACTGAACTTGTTTGTAATAAAACAAAAAAAGAAAAACAGCTTTGATTGACTTGTGGTGATGGATTTCTATCAAGTCAGTGTAGTGCAGTTTATCATGATTTTTGGCAGCTTTAAAACTGGTAAAGAAATGGAACCAATGAAGATCCAACTTTCATTCAAGAAAATATAACCCAGGAATATCAACGTAAAGGTACAGAGATTGACAAAAATGAAAAAGAACAAAATAAACATCTACTTGTGAATAAAATTCAACCTGCAAATCATTTACCCTGCTACCCTGACAACTGCAGAGAGATGAGCAAACTGAAAATCCAGGAAGAGGGATAGTAGACAAAGGCATTATTCCTGTAACCGTTAAAGATGGAAAATTCTAATCTGAAAATATCTTAAAGCTGTCGTCGCTGCTCAAATCCAACTCTACAACAGTTGGAATGGCAAGGCTAGCAAAGAGCGTTACCATGGAGATGGAACCAAACCATTACAAATATAGCAGAAAGATAGAAAACTGCAAACTGAAACAGTCCTGCTGCCAAGAAAAAGCACAGTGAGGAAATGCTCCAATCTAACCCAGAAGGACTGTTTGCTGACTGTGTCACACACAACAACAGAAAGTCCAGAAAAAAAATCTCCGTCATTGGGACAATATCGATCTGAGCAAGAATGTCATCTGAAACAACACAGACAACTCTTGGCTCACTGTTACCTACTATCCTAACAAAGGTACAGTGCTGGTCCAGGGAGATAAAGGAAACCTCAGCTCTTCTGATAAAACTCTTCGCAAAGCTAAAAACAGAGGTCCAGAGACACCAGCCAAGGACCAACAACACAACTACAGGAGAATCAGTCCCTCCTGGAGCTAAACTTTACTGAGTTTAAAGAGCTCACTTTAGCCAGTCTAAACCCTGAGTATGAACTCCTGCCGTCTAGTAGGCGAAACAGAGTCCCCAAATGTCAACTGAACTGTTTTAAAAACTCATTTGTGGCCACCTCATTTAGGTTTTTAAATAATATTTCCTTAAATATAGCCGGATTGTGCAATAATGTCATGGTGTTATCTTGTTGTCTTATCATTTTCTTTTTGGTCTTGTTTGCCTCGTCTCACCCTGCTGTGTCTTGTTCTTTGTCAGTGTTGTCTATTGCTGGTGTGTTTCTTTGGACCATTTCTGTGGGATTCTTGTGCAATGTGTGTGGGTTGTGTGACTGTGTGTTTGTTAGGTCTAGTACTTTGTGTCATGAGTTGGCAGCTTTCTCTGTGCAGCTCTTGGAGTCCAAGACAAATTTCCCTTAGGGAACAATATAGTGTATCATATTGTATCGCATACTTCAGATAAATGGTACTTTTCTTGCGATTTTTTAAAAGATTAAGTTAACATTTCACAAAGTAAAAGACATTAAACTGATCAAAGACTTGGTGATGTTTGTAAAAGATAACAAGAAAGATACAAGAAGCAACACAAGTTAAAGGGACTGGATTGTCAACAAGGGTTACCAGAATTGTCAAAAACAATAGCTCCTCATAGTTGCTTCAATTACAATATATATTTACTGTTTAATAAATACTGACTGATATAACAGGGAGATGCAAAAGCTCTCATATCGGTCATGACTGGACATCAAGTGCTGGCTTGGTAGTCTGACTTTTACCCATGCATAGTTTTTTTTAGTTGTCATGCAGCAAACATAACTCAATGAGATCCCTCCTGTATTATCATACTGGACTCCAAAATGACAAAGTCCTCATTGCTTAGTTTTGGTCTGATGTTTTTTCCTCGATGTTTACAGAAACGTGGCTCTTCTCAGTGTTGTATTGCCTGTCTCACATGCTGAAGTGTGTCCAGCCTTTTCTTGCTGAGGCGGCCCAAGTGATGCCCTCACCACTTGGGCCGATGAGTTTAAGTCTTATTCTAAACATTTTTATATGTATATCTTTCTGCTGAAAATACTTGCAGCGTACTTTAAGATAATTTACTAAACTGATCAAATTAGTCTCATTTTTTTTATCTCAGTTTGATGATCTTAAAAAACATCTGTTTATATATAGAATTAATGCAATACTATGTTCTGTGCTGATCAGTCAAAAGCTTTGACTACAATAGAAGTCAAAGAGCCTTGCTGAAATAACAGCCTTCTTGTCTTTTACACAGCTCTCTTACTGCAGTTATTACTTCACATTAATCTGTTTTATTGTCCTACCCTGATAGATGTTTCCTAATAGTTCACTAGAGGGCAGTCTTGCCATTCTAAAAACAACAGATCCATCCTGTCAGACTGAAAACATTCATTAGATAAACCAGAGGAGACAAATCTGAATATATTTTTAGATTTAAGCACACAACAGATGAAAATGTTACTATGGAAAAGTCAGTGTGAGATAGCATCCTGTAGGGTACTGTGTTTGTGAACCACTGTGTTTGTGAACCAAGTGTCCTTTGAAATTCAAAGATATGCTATATTTCCTGACTCTGTACACTTACTTTGAGATAAAAAAGCAGAGGGTCATTTACATGGGAATTTATTACCACATGAATGAATAAATGTATAATGTATACATAGCTATAACAGCTGGAAAAAATACAAACAGGCAGAGGTTATTCAGTATTTTCAGTATCCTGTTATCTTGCAAACACAAACTTCCTCCTAAACTCTGCGTTGGAGTCATTTAGGAAGCACCCAGCATCAGTTTGTTGTTTTGCTGCTGCAGTTCCTCGATGCTGAGAGAGACGCCTGAAGCAAAGCGAGAGTGAAATCACAGAGCAGTTTTGTTTTCTGCAGCATTGCCGGTGTGCTTCTAACACAGAGCACCCAAAATACAACTCTTTGTAACCTTCAAGGAAGGAAGAAATGCTGAGGAGGAGACAGAAGCAGGTTACAGTGATGGGTTTGGTGTGCAGATGGGTTGAGGTCAAGTTTAAGTGATATTCATGATACTCTGATGGTTCCTGTGATAAAATAAATCTCATAATGTGAAGACTGCGGCGTTCAACCTCATGAATATTTTATGATAGCCTTTAATTTGTAATCAGATACAAGCTGTCATGAAGCAAAGCCAATGAAGAAGCAAACATTAAGTGCTGCTTTTACTCCTAATATAAAGATTTATCTAAGTCAATTTCATATCCAGGTGGATCTGTTGACAAAATTCAACAAAAGCAGGATCTAAAATGACAATTCTTAAGATAGTCAGTAGGGTGTGAAGATGCCGCAGAGCTTTTTTTTTTGTTTTTTTTAAAATAGCACTCTTCTGGCTATAACAATATCCTGATATGGATGAAAGTCATAAAGTCTCTGTGTCACAACAAAAAGTAATTTAGTCTTGGAATTAAGTTTCATGTCACGAAATAGGTCATTCAGTTTTAGAATAAAGTTATCCTGTCACAACAAAGACATTGAGTGTGAGAAACAAATTCATACAGTGCAGTGAGAGATTGAAGAAATAAATAAAGACTGTGTCACAACAATAAACAAAATAGTTTTGTCCTGTATCGTTAAATGCTGGAATATTAAATTTGATCAAAAAACTGTTATGTGAAGTAGAGTTGCTAAGCTTTATGTCCAGCCCTCCTCCCTTATCTGGGCTTGGGACCAGCAAAGTGACCGAAAAGAGATGATTTTTTTTTAAATTTAATTTAATTTAATTTAATTTAATTTAATTTAATTTAATTAATTTATTTATTTATTTATTGGGGGGCAGTTTTCAAGTTTATTTGAGGGTTATAGAGTTGAAGTCACGGGAGACCAAGGACTGTGGGAGAGTGGGGGTTGGGGATAACATGCAGTTGAATGTCTTCTCTGTGATTACCAGAAATTATGAGCATTATGGGAACTGTGCAGTGAGTAACTTTAGCAATTAACCTGCCGTCTAAGGCAGTGACAGTTTTGGGGCTGGATAGGGTCTCAAGGGGAAGGCTAAGCTGTCTCACCAGTTCATCATGGATGAAGTTGTCGTCAATGAGGACTTGCAGGGGAAGGGAATCCTTCTCCCAGAGGATGCATGGGGGAACAGGGATCTGATTGGGAGGGCTGGGGGTTGAGGATGTTTGGCTCATCAGTGCGCTCTGATGAGCCTGGTCAGAGGGCAGGAGGCAAGAAAATGGTGGGCTTGACCACAATAGCTGCATAGCCTTTGATTGATCCTGCTCTGACATTCACTAGGGTGCAGCTTAGCCCTTCCCACTACAACCAAGGATCTCTTTCACAGTGAATAGTAGAGCTGTAGCAAACTAAGCAAAGAAATACAAAACACAAATTTAATCAATGAGTTTTTATTATCCCAACGGACGCAAGGACTGGATCCAAGTGGGTCAAGGGAGCCGCTCAGGTGCAACAGGTGCTGCATTAGCATGAGACTGGGCTGAGCAGAATGGCTGCAGAGGAGTTGCTATAGACAGTGATTCTGTGGCAACCTCGACCAGTATTGGAACAAGATCTCACCAAGACCTAGTATTTCAAAATATTGATCTCTTTGAGAGAGTAAAAAAAAGATTTGTGATGTGTTTCTGTGGGTTGTAGCACATTTATCAGGATCCAGTTTGCAGTTTGGGCTCTGTGAATCTGAGGGGAGTGCTTAAATAGCGGTCTTGTCTGTTGTTTTATAGAGTCTTGCATGTTCTCTGAGGATGTGTAAACACCAACCTCATAGAAAAACACAACAATGCCTCCATAGCTCTTAACAAACCACCTCAGAGCACCTGAGGGAAGCACTTAACAGGTTTTCTTAATGCACTTAGAAAGGTATACACTACCTCCAGCTTTTGAATTCACATCACAGCTCTGTTTGCTTCTGTTTACTCGGCTGCTAATAAAAGATGAGCCCTTTAGAGGCTGTAGAAAATCCCACTTCAGCTTCTACAAGAGTCATTGAGGTGAGCTGTGAATTCTTCTCCTCTTGGCCTCAGAGGCTCTTTGAGAAAAAAGGTACTTCAGGTAAAAAGCAGTAAAACACAAATACTGCTCTGACGACTGCTGAGCCTCTACAAAAGCTGTGTTTGTGTCTTTAGTACTCTCTGAGGGACTTAACAAACTGCAGCTTGAAGTAAAGAGGAAGGTCAGTGAAGCTGTGCACTTTGATCAACCTGAGACCTTGAATACAATGACTAACAATGCACCACCATTTTCACTGTAGTTCATATGAAGGACAGACAACAATCAACGAGAACTACATTACCAGAAGAATGTAGATCTTACTAACCTTTTTACAGCTTAACTCAAACTAAACTGAGATAAGCAACTACTGCCCTCTGTTGGTCAGCTGTAAGATAATAACAACAGGCTGGTACAATCATGAAGAATTTCTAAAACTTAGTCAGTTTTAACTTTCTCAAGACAAAGACATATTTGCATGTTTTTACTTCATTACACCTCCATATTTTTAAAGACATTTTTACCTGCACAAACCAAAAATCAGCTGGTTGACTCCTGACTTTTTTAAAGTAAGTCTATGATTATCATTATTTTACAGTATTACTGTCAAACAGCAGGACTAGCAGCATAGCAGCATACCAAAAATGGAAAAAAGGAAGCACAGCTAATATTGCCATTGTTTTCCTTTCTGCAATTTGTACTGTGCTACAGACAGACAGTCATTTATTCAAGATAAATACAGCTTGTTTTCAAAGATTCAAAGCAATTAAAGATTTCAATAAAACAACTATTTTTTATAATTTGGATCTTGATTTTTTTTTTTATTTGAATCATATCTCCCTCCTGCTCATCCCACTGACTGTGGCTCTGACACTCACATAGAGAGGCAGAATGAAGAGAAAGTACAGCTGCAACAACATGTAACTGTGCTAATATAATAAATCAGCTTACATCAATAGACACTGTTGATGTATAAAATGATGTTCGATCTGTGTTAGAAACCTTGTAAACTTCTTCTGCATATGATGTCTCATCACTATGATAAACTCAGAGTATGTTGTTTTGTTACTGAAGTAGTATTGGGGTTTGCCCACAA